CGGTTGCTCTATATAACGTCCAAGCCGCATACATCCAACGATATTCTATTTTTGGACGCGGAGTTACCGTTTGTGGTGGGATAAACTATCGATGATTTCAATGCCGCGAGTAATTACCAATAGGAGATACATCTAACGGCATTTTAATCGTCTTAGAGAAGCGCTTAAACTGGATGCAAAAAACAGTGCCGTGATTAAGATAGTCGTAATTGGCCAGGAGCCTGTAATATTCTCAGAATGTATCTATTCTATCATTCTTCTCTTCTATTTGCTGTACTTTTGCATCACCAGGAACCCCCTAAATAAATATTACATTTTTTAAATTGCTTGTACTAAATTGTCAAGGCTCACAATATATCAAGATTTGCTTATCTTGCATGGAGCCTTGCCCAGTTCTGTGTAAAATAAGTTTATTTAAGAATATATCAGACCCGAAATCGTAGGAACATGTTATATTGTGCCTTTTTTTTCCAATCGCGAGTCTAGTCGCGTACCCCTCACCAACCCAATCCATCCACACCCGCCAGTAAATGAATGGGCCAAGAACTTCGCTAGTTATGGAAGATGTTTTATTCTGATTTAAATGAATTACCACCAAATTCAAACATTTCTTTAAAACCATCTTTAAAATCCTTTAAACAGAGATGTGTGCATATTCATTTAGACACTACTGTCTTTTATATGCAATGTCTATTATACGCCTTTGTGTAATTTGAAGAAGGAAAAACTCAATATGAATACGACCATCTAAATTATTCTCTCGTAGGCCTACACGATTGTTGTTTATTACTTATACACATTGCATAATCATGATAATTATTTGTGCAATAATATACCATGAATAAGATTTTATATATAGTCTCAGTGTCATTCGAATCTGAGCTGCTCTAAAAAAAATTATCACTCCGACTTGAAATTACCATCCATCAGCACAAATCACATCTAGTGTATATTTCGACATTGGCAGATATTACCGGATATATAAATATATTATATTGACTTTCTAAACTCCGAGTCACTCTCGATCAAGCCTAACCTCACCCCCCCCCCTCTCTCTCTCTCCCCCCTCTCTCTTTCTCTCTCTTTCCCTCTCTCTCTCTCTTTGTCAGTATGTCTGTTTCTCTATCACTACTCCCTATCACTCTCTCTCTTTCTAAACTATCAACATGCATATTCAAAATAACAAGAATTATTCTCTCTCTCTCTCTCTCTCTCTCTCTCTCTCTCTCTCTCTCTATCTATCATCCCCTCTCCCCGTCGCTGGTTTCATCTTTTCCAGTATCGACATAGTTATTCAACATGACAATAATTTCACTGTACTATATGAACAAAGTCGAATTGCGTATTCCCATTGAATTGAATCGAATTGAATTGACATTCATTTATTTCCGTTATCACGACAATAATTACATACAAACATAAAATATGGAATATTGTAACAGATAACAATATCATGACCACATAATACATTGCCGTAATAGGCTACCATTCAAAATCAGATAGACTGTACGTTACAAATGGAGAACGGTGCATCCGTACTGAAAAACCAATAAGGTTTGACAATAAAATGAGTCGATCGCAAACTGACTTTTTATTGTCAATTGAAACTAGAAAATCACAAAACATAAGTTAAAAAGAGGAAGACATTATTCCAATTGTCAGTGGTATACATTCACATATACAAATCCGTCTTCAAATGTTGAGACACTTTTCGAAATGCGTTTGTGGTTTGTAATTTTCTATATTTAAAAATTATCCGATCGATATAATGTGGCCTAATTGATTGGTAAAGTTGAAGGAAAATTGATTTTCTAAAAGCAATTAACAAAATGCTACAATGCACGTCCCCTACTCTTGATATTATTGAAACTTTCAGCAACTTATACAGAAAAGCCGCATTGCCAGACTGAGGGTGATTAAGGTTAACCAGTATGCTGCCTTTGTAATTCCGTGAGTATTTTTGGAAAAGATCCTTTTGCTTCTTCTTCTTCGTCCTCTTCTTCTAATCTTCTTCTTCTTCCTCTTCTTCTAATCTTCTTCTTCTTTTTCTTCTTCATCTCCTTCTTCTTCTTTTTTTCGTTCTTCTTCTTTCTTCTTCTTCTTCTTCTTCTTCTTTCTTCGTTTTCTTCTTCTTCTTTTTCTATTTCATCTCCTTGTTGTTTTCATTATTATTATTTTTATCATTATTATTATTTAAATTATTAATATTATTATTACTATTATTCAATAATTGTTGGTACACATACATACAAATCCGTCTTCATTATTGTTGAGACACTTTTCGAAATGCGTTTGTGGTTTGTAATTTTCTATATTTATAAATTATCCGATCGACACAAACAAAAATGATGTGGCCTAATTGATTGGTAACGTGGAAGGAAAATTGATTTTCAAAAAGCAATTAATAGAAAACTACAATGTACATGTATGTCCCCTACTCTTGATATTATTGGAAACTTTCAGCAGCTTATACAGTAAAGCCGCTTTGCCAGACTGAGGGTGATCATGATTAAGGTTAACCAATGATTGTATGCTGCCTTTGTAATTCCGTGAGTATTTTTGGAAAAGATCCTTTTGCTTCTCCTTGATCCTCCTCTTCTTCTATTTCTTCTATTTCTTCTTCTTCTTCTTCTTCTTTTTCTTCTTCATCATCTTCTCCTTCTTCAACATGTTCTCCTTCTTCTTCTTCTTTTTTTCTTCTTCTTCTCTCTTCTTCTTCTTCTTCTTCTTCTTCTTCTTTCTTCTTCTTCTTCTTCTTCTTCTTCTTCTTTTTTTCTTCTTCTTTCTTCTTCTTCTTCTTCTTCTTCTTCTTTTTTTCTTCTTCATCATGTTCTCCTTCTTCTTCTTTTTTTTTCTTCTTCTTCTTTTCTTCTTCTTCTTCTTCTTCTTCTTCTTCTTCTTTTTCTACTTCTTCATCTTCTACTTCATCTTCTTCTTCTTTTTCTTCTTCTTCTTTTGGTCTTCTTCTTTCTTTTCTTCTTCTTCATCTTCCTCTTCTTCTTCTTCTTTTTCATCTTCATCTTCTTTTTCTTTTTCTTTTTCTTCTTCTTTTTCTTCTTCTTCATCTTCGTCTTCGTCTTCATCTTCTTTTTCTTTTCTTCTTCTTCTTCTTCTTCTTCTTCTTCTTCTTCTTTCTTCTTCTTCTTCTTCTTCTTCTTCTTCTTCTTCTTCTTCTTCTTCTTCTTCCTCATCTTCTTATTCTTCATCTAAAGGGCCTATACTTCTTCTACTTCTTCAGATTTTTCTACTACATCTCCTTATTATTGTTATTTTCATTATTGTTATTATTATTATTATTATTATTATGATTATGATTATGATTATGATTGAATTGTTAGCATTATTATTATAATTATTGTTATTATTATTATTATTATTATTATTATTATTAATATTATTATTATCATTAGTTGTATGTTTTATATTATTATTACCATTATTCCGATTGTTGGTAAATACACATAATATACGAAATCCGTCTTCAGATGTTGAGACATATTTCGAGATGCATTTTATTCCTTTGTGGTTTGTAATTTTCTATATTAATAAATCATCCGATCGATATAATTATGGGGCCTTACTAAACGACAAAGTGGAAGGAAAATTAAAATTCCATAAGCAATTAACAAAATACTACAATGTATACGCCCCCCGCTCTAATTATTATTGGAAACTCGCAGACAGAGGGTGATTAAGGTTAACCAATATTGTATGCTGCCTATGTAATTCCGTGAGTATTTTTGGAAAAGATCCTTTTGCTTCTCCTTGATCCTCTTCTTCTTCTACTTCTTCATCTTTTTCTTCTTTATCTTCTTCTTCTTCTTCTTCTTCTTCTTCTTCTTCTTCTTCTTCTTCTTCTTTTTTTTTTCTCCTTCATCATCTTCTCCTTCTTCTTCTTTTTTCCTTCTTCTTCTTTCTTCTTCATCGTCGTCTTTCATCTTTATCTTCTTCATCTTCTTCTTCTTCATCTTCTTCTTTCATCTTTATCTTCTTCTTCATCGTCCTCCTCTTCTTTATCTTCTTCTTCTTCTTCTTTCTTCTTCTTCTTTCTTCCTTTTTTTCCCTTCTTCTCCTTCTTCTTCTTCTTCTTCTTCTGCTTTTTTTTCTACTTCATCATCTTCTCCTTCTTCTTCTTTTTTTCCTTCTTCTTCTTCTTCTTCTTTCATCTTTATCTTCTTCATCTTCTTCTTCATCTTTATCTTCTTCATCTTTTTTTCCTTCTTCTTCTTTCTTCTTCTTCTTCTTCTTCTTCTTTCATCTTTATCTTCTTCTTCTTCTTCTTCTTCTTCTTTCTTCTTCTTCTTCTTCTTCTTTCATCTTTATCTTCTTCTTCTTCCTCTTCTTCTTCTTCTTCTTCTTCTTCTTCTTCTTCTTCTTCTTCTTCTTCTTCGTTGTGTTCTTCTTCTTCGTTGTGTTCTTCTACCTCTTCCTCAGATGTTTCTTCTTCATCTCCTAATTGTTATTTTTCATTATAATTATTTTCACGATTATTATTAGTGTTATTATTACTATAGGCATACATGTATTATTATTGTTATCATTATTATTACTATTAATATTAGCCTATTATTATTAATTGTATAATACTATAATTATTATTCATTTATGAATTAATTTCTTATTTCATATCTATTTAGGCCTATTCACGAATACGGAATATAATTGTTGTAATTACCACTGTCCAAGAACTACTAAAAAGGGTATTGAGGCAAAATTACCAATAAGCTACCACCCCCCCCCCCCCCCATTTTGTCATATTTTATTTTTCAAACAAAATAAAAAGGCTAAAACATACTCAAGGCTCATTTGTATATTTTTTTGAATTTCGGCTAGCGGTCTTGCAGGAAATCAAATGAAATGTATAGGATACCATACCAATGAGTTCAAATTCAATGAAGTTCAGTTTTTTGAATTGCTATCAATTTCACCCAGATGTAATGTGATAACAAACGTAAGGATACCGAGGGCGATCTATTTATGTACTGCCGGACGGCTGAATTCAAGACTAAAAAACAAATCGTGTAATGCGACCATTGGCCGACAGTTTCCTGCCTAAAATCTTACTCAAAATGGAGAATTTACGATTAATTCTGGGATATTTCATATTTTTGATCGTGGCGGAACTTTCCTCAGGCATCATGCATGATCTAACTGTCATAGTTCCTCCTGGAAGAAGAGAGTGTTTCCATCAAACAATGAAGACCGGTTTTAACTTGGAATTCGAATTTCAGGCAAGTTCCTCATCTACAGTCCCATGTACTGCATATGTTGCTTGTTTAATTGTTGGACTTTACAACACGGTGCATGTCAGTAGGCTAAGTGTTTTCTCCTCCAACCTAGTTTTGTCCGACTTTATGGAACAAAAAATAATTAAATGTTACTTTTGTCAGATTTTAACGTAATGTTTTGAATTGTTAAAAGAAATTGCTAAAAGTAAAACTTAAGTTTAATAACGTAATTTTATTTGAGAGTGAGACATTTGATTTGAATTTTTCATCGTAAAAAAAGAAAAGAAAAAAAAAGAAAAAATATCAAATGAAAAAACAGAATTTGAAATACTTATTAGTCTTTTTTTTTACATAATACACTGAGAGCTTGAGGCTGAGGCTGAGCTTTATCTCCTGTCTCCTTGAAATTGAAAATACAATTTTGTTTTTCTAATTCTAGATCTCATCTTGGAAAGATTTCCTTTTGCGACAGCCACCTAAAATTTCCAGCATGTGAGCGCTTAACCTAGCTGTACCTGCGCTCACATGCTAAGCGTTAGGGTTAGTGATAGGGTTATAATGAATAATACTGTAGATTTGTTCATTATTATTTATTATAACCCTATCACTATCAGTATCACTAACCCTAACAGGGAAGCTGTAAATTTTAGGTGGCTGTCGCAATAAGAAATCTTTCACTCATCTTCATGCAATTTTCATCAAATAATTTAAATTGATGTCATTCTCTCTCATTTAACTGTTGGAATAGACTAGGATGAATTTTGGGTGTAGTCTGTAGCCTACTAGTACTACTGTACTTCTGTAGTACACTCTCCTTATGTCTCACTTCAAGTAAAGAGTTGACACTTATGACCCAATTTGTGGTTCCTTATTCAGGTATTGGAAGGAGGAGATTTAGATATCAACTTTATTTTACGCTCACCAACCAATAAAGCCCTGGCAACGGAGGCAAGAAAACAAGATGGCATCTATTCGTAAGTGTTCCTTATATAATGTTTAGAGATGAAAAGAAAAGAAAAAAAACTTTTAGATCGATGGAATTGTGATATAATATTTAATAGTCCAATGTTTGTTGTTGTCGTTATTCATAATCAGCATCATCATTATCATTACCATCATCATTATCATTACCATCATCATTATCATCACCATTATCATCATTATCATCATAAACTTCTTCTCCTTCTTCTTCTTTTTCTCTTTTCTTCTTCTTTTTCTCTTCTTCTTTTCTCCTTCTTCATCTTCAAACAGTGTAAAAATACTTTTCTGTTTGCGGGAATTTCAAGTGCGATAATATAGTATTAATGACTGCTTTGAGAGAAATAGTTGTTTTTATACGCTCAAGGGAAGGTTAGAATTGTGCTATTGCCCCGAGGCGTGCCGAGGGCAATAGCCCAATTGTAACCTTCCCGAGAGCGTATAAAAACAACTATTTCTCAAATATTAAAGCAGTCATTTTTACTTTTATATGCCGAAAACAAAAGAGTCAACTAATGACACCACCTTGGCCTTTCTCTAGTTTATCTGCACAGTTGTTTTTTATGAGTGTATCTTTGAGAGTAGACTAGATCTAGATTCTAGTCTAAGCAAGATATTTTTACAATTTTGGGGGTGGGCCGGCCCTGTGGGGAATAGAGAGAAGAACCTGCGCTTTCATATGACACCTCACTTTTTGAGTACCACCTTCAGGATCACAACAGATAAAGGTTTGAATCTCGAATTGAAAAAAAAAACTTGACTTTTTTTGCATGGTCGCACAATGCACATAGACTGCATAGAGACTGCATTGCGTGTAATCTCTATGGGAAGAATGTAGCACACAACATCGGATGCGCGATCAGACACCCTGACAACTAGATCTATTTTTGTCTAGGCCTACGTCTATGCTGGTACTCCATTTTCAAACGAACATGTTTATGGATAATTTCACGTACCCTTTTTGTTGTTCTTGCTATCAGTGAGTCTTGCATTTGATAAGTTGAAATCTTGGGACAGTTTCTTAGCCATTTTTGTCTTGTTTGGAATCGTCTTGTCTTGTATGAAAATACCGACCAATTCTTCGCACACGTACGGTATCCTCGATCGCTCAAACCATTTTTTAACATGTAAACCTATGGGGTAACCATGGAGACTGAACTATTTTCCCGCTAACCGTGGTTACTGGGATTTTAGAACTGTCTTAACCATGGTTACTGGGAATTTTACAGAAATAGTTAAAGTTTATGAATGCAATTTCAACCAATCAGATGGCTGGATTTCTTAAGTGAGGTATATAACTCCTTTTAGTGTAGCTAAATCGCTCATCACTCCCGTTGATTTTTTTTGCTGTCTCTGAATATATCCTCGCCGGGATGGCAGAAGGGCGTTAGCTCGAATTTCAGGTAAAAAAAATGAAGCGCTAAGCATAAGGACGTTAGTACTAAATCGCCTCAAACTTGTAACAGACTTATTTCCGAGAAAAAAATTGTGGCTGAGTTGTACTATTACATTTCAAATTAGTCTTTTAAGTTTTAAACCAATTTTCGGGAGGGAAAGCAGTTTAAATATAAAACAAATCTTTAAATGCAACTAATGAGTCGCTCGCGCGCTGCGCGCTAATGCCCTTTTGCCAGCCGGTCAACGATATGTTCTTTAAAAAAGTGGGGGAAAAAAGTGAAGAAAAGAAAAAGAATAAAAAAAAAAAAAAAACCCTCAGCATTCAAACAAACATCTTAGCCTACCTCTTCACCCCCCCCCCCCCCCCCCCCCCCCCCCCCCCCCCGAACAAAAAAAATGATAAACAAGAAATGTGTAATTTGTATCTGGTACTTTTTACCCCCTCCCATGACGGTCCTGTTGTAAGGAAAGAGTTGATGTGATTGAGAACTATGTAAGAAGCTAGTAATGGTATTTATTCATTTATTATTTTATGAACAATTATAATCGTTCCTCTTTCAGTTAATTAGTACCACAATTTTTTATCATTGTTTTTCCCCCTTCTATTTTTTTTCCTTCCAGTTTCAATTTACAAGAAACAGGGGACTACCTCATGTGTTTTGATAACTCCTTCAGCAGAATCTCAGAAAAGGTTTGTTTTATCAGATTTCATTCAAAATCCAAGGTTGTTCAATTAATTTCTAGTTTCATGTGCTTGTGTTATGATAACCATTTCATTCAGAAAATCACATGTTATTATGTATCTTATTTTGTTTATTGTTTCAGATGTCGTTGGCTGTTTCCTTCAAGTGGTAGTAAACTTGAGGTCATTGGAGGTCATGGATGCATGATTTCACATTTGTGCATATTTTATATGTTAGATGAAGCCTTAAATTGCAGAATTCATAAAACAATGAAATACAAAAGTAGATAACTATACAATACAAGAAACAATAATATTCATGATAATTGAAATGGAATAGAAAGAATCATTAACAGAATTTTCAATGAGGAAGATTTTACATCTTTTTTTTCTCTCTGTGCCTCTAATGAGGTGTTTTTTCAATATTCATAAGTAACATAATTCCGCAGACAATTTAGCAAAACAATGGAACATCAACAATAATACACATACAGTAACATTTTTCAAGATATATAACTAAGCAAATTTGCAGGACATTTCCTATTTTGTACTTTCAAATGTTCATTTATTTTTAGTCTGTGAGTCATTTCTCTCTTTAATGAATAATTCAAATCTCTATTAAATAAAGTATTATCATACAAACTGATCATTAGACAATGTGGATAGTTAACAGGCTGGGTGTAGACCATAATGGCAATTGACTAATTGGATAATAGATGAATGGGCTGGAAACCAATTCATCTGTATGCATGTACTGCATGATTGGCTGCTGTGCAGTGTAAATATTGACAAATCTGTGCATGTCATGTATGCCTTATGGATTGATAACAAACAGCGTGTTGATAGAGAGCCATCAGCTGTTCACTTCACACGTGGCATCTAGTTAAAGCTACTTGAGTTCTGGTGAAGCTGGGAAATTAATTCTGACAAGGATCACATGGTTCTTCATGGTTCTGGTCCCGCCGCGGCACTCATGTCATGTCCATTGGCCTTACATTGATCTCCATTTGCCACTCTCGACCCAGGTGTAGTAAATGGGTACCTGGTAGGGTTTCCTTGAATGCTTTAAAATGAATTAGGGCAACTGGGCTAAAGCCGGGGTAATAATATTTTTTTTGTAGGCGTCTTGAGCGCCTGCTGGGATGGATACAGGTGCAATATAAATTTAGCTATTGTCATTATTTTATAATGAAGTCAAACTGTATTCAATGTAACATTCAATATAAAAGAAATTTTTCCAAATGATGTACACTGTAAGAAAAAAAAAGTCAAGTAAATGAGCTGTGAACAATACAGTGTGTGTACGATTTACATACTGTGATCATTCTAGGACATTTCAATAACTCATAATAATAATAATACCCAACATTTATTAGGCGCTTAATACGGGTGTTTCTAAGCGCACCATTGTCTGACTTAAAATTACCAACCAAAAACTATAATAAACATACAAAATATAAATCTGTTCTTTATTAAATAAATCGGGCATATATAATAATAACAATAAAAACAAAATCAAACATACAAGGAATAAGATGGTGTGCAACTCATGGTATTACATAGTAGCATAGATACAAGAGGTGCGTGCCTCCCCCTCCAATGAACCTAAAAAGAAAAAGAACTAAGAGAGAACATAAAGAAAAGAAAGAGACGAAGAAGGGAGAGGGAGATAGGAGCATGAACAGGATGGAATGTGACCCCCTCCCATACCAGACTTCGTTATTAGTCCTGCTTCAGTCACATTTGTAGACACATTGTACGCTACAAAAATGTACAAATGTGGCTATTATATTTGTATATTATTATTAACTATAACAAAATGATGATGGTGATGAAAATGATGATAGTAAGAGATTTTATTACTGCTTATTGCTAATACATTTATGCCTTGTAGTATTATTACCCCGTCTTGATTAGCCGAGCTACAGTACCCTGATATTATCACTATCATTATTTCAAATTTTATCATTGTTGTCCTTGATTTTGTTTTCTTCTTCTTCTTCATTTCAGATTGTATATTTTGACTTGGCCTTAGACTACGAAGACGATGGAGAGTCGGACGTTCCAAAATGGATGGATGCGGTCGCCAATAGAAACGAAGAGGTGGAAATAACCATGGAGGAAATACAAGTAAGCTTTCATGCAGGATTTCAGTGATGTCTTCATTTAACCCTTTGCTTACGGGAACCTGGTGGTCCCTGTGTTAAGCATATAGGATCTATACAATTCAGTAGTCAACGGGTTAAATTCCAATAGGCCATTTTCGTAATGCAACCAAATTTATGCATATAATAATAATAATAATAATAATAATACATAACATTTATTAGGCGCTTAATACTGATGTTTCTAAGCGCACAGTGTTCTGATTAAGAGAAGACTATAACCCGTAGAATTAAATTAGAAGAAAAAGCAAAAATACAAAAGTAACATAGATAAGGTAAGAAAAACAGTGGCAATCAACTAAATAAAGACAAATATGGTGCGCACCTCCATTGACCGACGCACAACTGCAATTTACAATTTGAAAAGATAGGTTTTGAGTAGAGATTTGAATTGAGATACAGAGGGGGCGCAGTGAATAAAGGCGGGCAGTTTGTTCCAGAGAGCGGGGGCAATAACTGAAAAGGCGCGGTCACCATACCGGGTGTTAGTGCGGGGTCCAGGTGTTAACAGTAATGTGGAAGATGAACGAAGTGTTCGTGACGACGTACGGGAACGTAAGGATATGAGATCGGAAAGGTAAGAGGGGGCTAAGCCATTGATAGCTTTGTAGCACAGGAGAAGAATTTTGAAGGATATGCGGTGGTGAATTTTAAGCCAATGTAGTGAGTTCAATATTGGAGTTATGTGCTCTGATTTACGCGAGAGAGTCACAAGCCGAGCAGCGCTATTCTGTACCCTTTGAAGTGGGACTAGATGTGACTGAGGGAGGCCAGAAAGAGAAGAATTACAGTAATCGATATGGGTCGAGACAAAAGCATGGACTAATTTTGAAGTTGTGGGTCGGTCAAGTAGCCTCCTGATTCTACTGATCTTACACCTGTACATGTATATGCCTTTGTGTTTTGTACAGTTTACACATTTATTCAAAATGATCCCTTCTCTCTCCCGATGTCCCCTCCCTCCCGATGTCCCCTCCCTCCCGATGTCCCCTCCCTCGTTATCTTTCCTTTTCTCTGTTAAAGTTTCTTTCTCTCCCTTTCTCTCTGTTTCTTTCTCTCTCTTTCTCTCTGTTTCTTTCTCTCTCTTTCTTTCTGTTTCTTTCTCTCTCTTTCTCTCTGTTTCTTTCTCTCTCTCTCTTTCTCTCTGTTTCTCTCTGTATGTGTCTGTCTGTCTCTATACATGTACAGTACATGTATGCCTCTTACTCTCTTTCTTTCTGTCTCTATCCTTCACTATGAACATGACAGACAAAGAAAGCGGACAAAATATACAGTTCCTCATGTAGACAAAGGAACATCCCTTCACTGCTATTATGTAAAAAGGTGAATATGCATGTGACACCTGTTCTACACATCTTTACATAATAGCAGTGAAGGGATGTTCCTTTGTCTACCTGAGGAACTGTATATTTTGTCCGCTTTCTTTGTCAGTCATGTTCATAGTGCTTATCTCTCTGTGAATTTGGCCCACATTTTTGTTTGAACACCCAGCATGCTTTATACTAGCAAGAACCCTTGTTTCAAGTATGACCACCATCATAATCATTTAGTAAAGTCAGCACTTACCCTCGTATAAGAGGTTACTGACTTTCGCGCCACGATGACACTCCCTCCATCCACTCCTTTGTGTCTCAAGCATCCTCTTCATTTAGACCAACCATACTGATTTCTTTCTTCACCACATGTTTCCATGAAATTTGGCCCAGTCTTGGTAAACGTACAAGCACTGTACACAGAAAGATGTATATGGGACTACACGAACATATGGCATAAAAATCCCTCCCGATTTTTGTGATGTTACATGCCATATTTAGAACATTAAGGCATTTGAAGAGCCATGCTTTTCAGGGAACATTTGTTATCTGATGTTCTTCCACACTTAATACAACGATAATGCTCACAAACTATTTTTCACCTCTTCCCAGAACTCAACCTTCTCTTTAATAACCTTCTTGGTAATTCAAGTAATGTTAATTTGTTCAGTTATGTTAGTAATATTTTATTTCTTGGTAATTTAAGTAATGTTAATTTCATTAGTTATATTGATTTTTCTTGAAGTAATCTTGATTTGTGTACAGCGCTTTGAAACTTGTATGTCATAAGCGCTATATAAATTTTCTTATTAATATTATTATTATAATAAGAACTATTTTATTGAGAATATGACATCATATTCCAATACTTCTTTCCCTCCCTCTGCACAGACCTCGCTGGACATCGTCAGTGACAACATGCGCAAGTCCCAGACCCACCAGCGACAGTGGCGCAACATTGAGTTCCGCGACCGCTATCTCTCCGAGCGCAACTTTGAGCGCGTTAACTTCTGGTCCCTCGTCAACACCATCGTCATGCTGGTCACCCTACTCATACAGGTCATCATGATCCGGAGCCTGTTTGGTAATACAACCAAAGTGAGAACGTGATCACCGTCTTACATTCAAAATGAGTTGATAATATAAGCCTTGTTCATACTTGGTTTATTTAGCGATTAGTTAGGATTAAGAGCAGATTTTTATTTACATGGGAGATTAGGCCTACAAAAAAAAGATGTTGTATTGCCCTTTGCGACCAACCCCAAAATATTGAAATCTATGGTCGGCTTTTTACAAACAGAAACAAATTACCGCTTTTTAGAGAAAATGAAAATTTTAAGCATTCAAAACTGAGAAATATCAGCCAAAAGAGGGACAAAAAAAGAAAAAGATTTTCAATCGACCAACCCATGTTTAGGCACCTGAAGGGCAATACAACATCTCTCTTTTTTTTAGGCCTTATGAGCAGATTTTTATTTACATGGGATGTATTTCCACGCCCATGCTGCCCCCAGGTTCGTCTTGATGACTAATGCATGTGTGAACATGATGGGATGACAATGGGTTAAATCATATGTACAGTATAGGTCATGTTCATACATGGTGACTCCTGAGCAATAAGCAATTGGTTACCAGTAATGTTTACTTTCAATTATTTGAGCGTTTCCTTGCCCATGATATAAATTACTGGAGACTTGTTTCGTCAGAGCCAGAAGGGCAGTAACTGTATTTATAAGGACAGGACCCTGTTTCACTAAACTTGCATCAGTGACAGCTTTTGTTGAAAGCTAATGAAATCCTTGCTTCTGATCGGTTATCGGCAAGTTTTTCACTGATTTGTTTCATTGGATAAAGGCTTTGTGAAACGGGTCTCTGGAGTTAACGCCTCTCTGGCTCTCAGTAGACGATTTAAAATGTTCCAAAATGAATTTCCTTAGCATCCACCTAGGCCCTGTTTCACAAAACCTTTTATCTATAACAAATGCTAAATTTCTATGATAAATTTACTCTCAGCCAATCAGATGCCTTGATTTTAGTAGCTTATAACAGTAGCCTGTAACTTGTTATTGATCACAAGTTTTATGAAACAGGGCTCTGGTAGCAAGAAACAATGTTATACGATAATGACACTTAATGAGTACTTAATATTGGTAAATACTTAATTTGATTCTTGCAGTTTTTTCCTTGGAAGAAAAAATTATTACCCCAGAACTTATTCAACATTTGAGGGGGCGTGATGGCTCAGTTTGTAGAGCAATGGTCTCACTAGTGCCCTTTGGTAAGGCATTAATCCTCATTACCAGGTCCCTCAGAGAGGACCTAAAGCCGTCTGTCCTCTGGTTGCTTTCTAACAAGCATTTATGCTTTCTTAGCAGTCAGGTAAAATAACCACCACTACTAATACTACATTATTTTATTAAAATATACCAAATTTTATTGACTGGTTTACTCACCATGAACTCTTAGAGTGAGAATAATTTAGTACATATATAATTTGTATATATACAGTATCTTCTTACGGAATGTATACCAAATATGAATTTTCAAATATAATTTGATATACTACTATTTGAAATAGTTTATGAAAGGAACCTCAACATGACGCTGAAGACCAAACAAAATAGTCAGTCCCATGTATGTCTGTATATCGTTGTGACGTTTTGAATAACGTTTTGATTATTTCTATGGATTGTACTGCTTTAAGAGATTTATGTAAATTCTTTGTTATACATGTAAAACCAATCAGTGCCTTGGAAAGGTTTGTTTACTTTACACTTGATGCAGGTAACTGCAAATAATTAAACAAAAAATGTTTTGGGGTATTTTCTATTACGCATAGGTGAACGGCAAGTAGGAATGAAACAATTCTCTTCATGCAACTAAGGTCTTAAGCGTATATAGTAAAAATTGATTTGATTATAACATGGTTCTTGGGACCGAGGAAATTAATTTGTTATATCAGGGTTAAAAAACAGAATATAAAGAGCTGGGACCAGCAAAATCACCTTGTTATAACAGAGCTCTTTATAATGAGGTTCCACTGTATATACACTATCTTTGTGTTAAAAGATACAGGATTGTTAAACTGGAATGCTTAACTCTAAACATCATTACGAGAAGAAACAAATTGATGGTTAATACCTGCATCATATTTGAACGAACCTTAAATATATATATAAATTAATGTACTCTTTGTTGTTATACTATCAGAATGTTATGTGCAGATACATTGTATCAGTTTCCTTTTTTCAAAGATGATGACTTATGGCACAACTATTTTGTCAAATTTACAATAATTTGTTCACTTTTGTCAAATTGTTGTCAAATATACAATAATTTGTCAAATTTTGTTCAATTTTGTCAAAATGTTGTCAAATTTACAATAACTCAAGCTTCCAGCTTACCTACTGTTAACTGTAATAATGTGGATGAATGCATCTGATTAGACATTGTTTTTTCTTTTTAATTTAGTGCTTCCTTTTACCGGTTGCCAAATAATTTTTAATTATAATTTGTTAGTTTTGGGGGCCTCTGTTCACTCATAAAATTGTAGTAGGCATAGAAGCCAAATAATAGCATATCCGTAAATGATGTGGTGTAAATTGTTAATTGACAATTAGCTGAGTACTCAGGGGGTAGTGGGAGTTGTTTTTATTTTTCTTAAAAATTGTTTGGGCTATGATTTTTTCAGCTTATATACATGTAGATGGTGGTTTGGCTAATTTATTTCACTTTTCTTACTCTGTTGGTTATTTTTCTATTCCATTTTGATACAGCGGTCAGGGAAAAGTGAGTTTGTGTGTATTTATTACTGAATAAGAACATCGTTTGTCGATCGTTACAGTAATTTAATGAATTGTGTATCTTACTTATGAAATCATAATTGCAGAACAAGGTTTTATTCACATAGTTGAAAAGAAATTCGAATTTCCCTTCAAGAATTTTGTTGGTCATATATGCGCCCTAAAATTTAATTATAACACAGTTTTTTTACTGTACAACCCTGTATGGAAAACAAAAATTCTGTCATCAAAAATGAAGAAAATAAAAGCTTATGAAGCAGGTTTCATTGTACTTCGTATTTTCCTCAAAACAATTCTCATCAATTATTTTGTATAGTTGATCGCCTAGAACACGTTTTTAAAACGTCCCTTTTGCCTATGTGGAATTGCCTATGTGGAATAGCCTATGTGGAATTGCCCATAGATAGTGTATGAGTACGGGAATTTCAGCTTTGGATTTATGTATTTGTAGCAACAAAAGAAGAGAATATCTGCACAAAGTGTTGATATTCATATGTACTTTGCTTTTCCTAAGATTAAATATATCTTAAGCTATAATAGTTTGATATCTTCTTTGTGTAATTAGTGTTGAGTAATTTGTTATTTCATGGATAGCCAAAAACCACTAAGAACTTGGAAAATTAAACCAGACGATATGCGTGTGTGGGTGTGTGTGTGTGTGTGTAATGCATTAGTCCATTTTAGAGCAGCTTGGTTTGAACATGGACCTATTACGGGTGGACATTCATCGTTTTCTTAACGAATTGGGGGGGGGGGGGAGGGGGGGGGGGAGGGGGGGGGGGGGAAATTTGAAATTATGAAAGCCAAATATTGGTACGTAATGGTAACCAGCAGTAGCGTAATGAGGAGAAATGTATGGGGGGGGGCAGAAAAAAAATCCGCATCACGCCACTCTCACATGCAGGCCCCGCAGAACTTTTTCTAAAGTATTTACGATCAAGTAGAGCGTAGCATAAATTGGCGTGGGGTCTAGGGGAAAAGCCCCGACGGGGGTCAAGGGGTATGGGCATTTAATTACGGTCATATGAGCAAATTTTAATACGTTATTCATGACACTGACAGGTCACTCATTGGCGTGGGGTCCAAAGGGCGGGCACGTATCCAGAGTTTGATGTTTGGTCGAGGTCAAAAAAAGGGGTCAAAAAAAGTTCAGCCGATCTTGGATTGTTTTTTTTGTAGGGGGGGGGGCACGTGACCCCCCCCCCCCCCATGGCTACGTGCCTGTCAAAGGGTTGAGCCCCCTCAAACTCAGGGATTGAATTGAGGCATTTTATAATGGTCAGGGGTTTTAGGCATTTAATTACGGTCAATAAAGCATATTTTGATACCTTATTGTGACACTGGCAGCTTAGGGGTTTTAGGCATTAAATTACCGTCAAATGCGCGTTTAGGAACCCCATCTTAGGGCCCTAGGTGGGGTCCAGGGGGCATAGCTCAGGGGATTTAGGCTATTTAATTACGGTCAGATGAACATTATCATACCTTATTTATGACACTGACAGGTCATTAATTGGCGTGGGGTCCAGGGGGTTGAGCCCCCTCAAACTCAGATATTTGAGCCATTTTATAACCGTCAGATAAGCATTCAGGGGCCCGTCTTAGGTTCCCTGGGGGGTTCAGGGGGCGGAGCCTCTGAAAACTCAGGGGTTTTAGGCATTTAATTACGGTCAGATGAACATATTTTGATACCTTAATTGTGACACTGGAGGGACACTTAGGCAGATTAGCATTCAGGGGTCCGCCTTAAGGCCTTAGGTGGGGTCCACGGGGCAGAGCCACCGGAGGTTCACGGGTTTAAGGCATTTAATTACGGTCAAATGAGTATCCAGGGTTCCGCCTTAGTGCCCTTGTTGGCTCCAGGGGGCAGAGCCCCCGGAAGCTCAGGGATTTTAGGCGTAAAATTTCGAACAGATGAATATATTTTGATACCATATTTGTGACACTGGAGGGACACTAATTGGCGTGAGGTCAAGAGGGCAGAGCCCCCGGAAGCTCAAGGGTTTTAGGCATTAAATAACGGTCAAAATAGTATCTAAGGGCCCATCTTAGGGCCCTTGGTTGGGTCCAGTAGGCAGAAACCCCGGAAGCCCAGGGGTTTTAGGCGTTTAATTACGGTCAGATGAACATTTTTTTGATACCTTATTGTGACACTGGCAGGACACTAATTTGGCGTGGGGTCCATGGAGCGGAGCCCCCGAAAGCTCAGGGGTTTTAGGCATTTAATTACGGTCAAATAGGCATATTCTGATACCTTATAAGTGACAGTGGCAGGTCACTAATTGGCTTTGGGTCCAGGGGGCGGAATCCCCGGAAGCCCATTGGTTTGAGGCATTACATTTCGGTCAGATTAGTATCCAGGGGCCCGTCTTCCTTGTTAGGGTCCAGGGGGCAGAGCCCCCAGAAGCCCAGGGGTTTTAGATGTTTAATTACGGTCAGATGAGCATTGTTTTATACCTTAATTTGTGACACTGGCAGGACACTATTTTGCGCGGGGTCCAGGGGGCAGAACCCCCGGAAGCTCAGGGGTTTTAGGCATTTAATTACGGTCAAATAGGCATATTTTGATACCTTATTTGTGACAGTGGTCTGTCACTAATTGGCGTTGGGTCCAGGGGGCAGAAACCCCGCAAGCTCAGTGGTTTCAGGCGTTAATTAATTACGGTCAGATGAGCATTTCTTCATAACTTAATTTGTGACACTGGGAGGACACTATATTGCGCGGGGTCCACGGGGCAGTAACCCCAGAAGCCCAGGAGTTTTAGGCGTTTAATTACGGTCAAATGAACATCACGTGTCCCCCCCCCAAAAAAAAAAAAATAAATAAATAAATAAAAAAATCCAAGATCGGCTGAACTTTTTTAGACCCCTTTTTTTACCTCGACTAAACATCAAACTCTGGCTACATGCCCGTCCTTTGGACCCCACGCCAATTAGTGACCTGTCAGTGTCATGAATAACGCATTAAAATTTGCTCATATGACCGTAATTAAATGCCCATACCCCTTGACCCCCGCCGGGGCTTTTCCCCTAGACCCCACGCCAATTTATGCTACGCTCTACCTGATCGTAAATACTTTAGAAAAAAGTTAAGCGGAGCCTGCATGTGAGAGTGGCGTGATGCGGATTTTTTTTCTGCCCCCCCATACATTTTTCCTCTTTACGCTACTGCTGGTCACCATAACGTACCAATATTTGGCTTTCATAATTTAAAAATTGCCCCCCCCCTTCCCCGATCCACTACTCGTTGGCGGGAAAATTGCAACTGATATCCCCCTTCTTTATTGTTCTTCTTTCTCTTTTTTTCCTTCCCTTTATTTCCTCTTTTCCTTTTTTCTTTCCCTTTCCTTCCTTCTCTCTCATTTGTTGATGGGGTTGGGGGAGGCAATGCCCTTTCGCCCCCCCCCCGATCTCCTTTTTCCCCTTTTTTCCTTTTCTTCTTCCTCTTCTTTTTTTCCCTTTCTCTCCTCTTTCCCTTCTTTTCCTTCTCTCTCTCTCTCTCTCTCTCTCTCTCTCTTTTTTAGCGGTGGGGGGGGGGGGGGGGGGGGGGCAAGGGCCGCTCCCCCCCCCTGGACCCGCGCCTGCTTTGAGGAATTATAGAGGTCAACATAATAGTTTATGAACAGAATATATAATTATGTGAAGGTAAAATAACAAAAGATGAATGTTTTAGGGATTTTAAAGAAATGAAATTGAATAAATCCCCTAGAAATGATGGCTTTACATTGGAATTGTATTATACATTTTGGTCAATATTAGGGGATTTGTTGTAGAAGTACTGAATGAAACATTATGTAAGGGGGAATGAACGGTATCTCAAAAACAAGGGACTATTGCATTAATAGAGAAAGAGGGAATGATGCGTTACATAAAAAAAAGTTATAGACCCATTACGCTGTTAAATGTAGATTCTTGGTTTTAGCAACTAGGATTATGAAGGTTTTAAATGAAATAATTCATTATGATCAGGTGGGATATATAAAAGACAAGAATATTGGGGAAGCGGTTCGATTGAAAGAGGATATGTTATTTTATTCTAGCCATTCCTTGGAGCAAGGACAGGTTTGTTTTTATTCTGGTAGATTTTGAAAAAGCTTTTGATTGTGTATCCCTTCAATATTTATTGAAAGTGTTAAAATTGTTCGGTTTGGGTGATTCGTTTTGTTCTTGGGTGAAGATATTATTTAATGGTATAACTAGTTGTATGAAGGAGGCGAGTTGGCTCAGTCTGTAAAGCGTCCGTCTGTAGAACCAAAGATCCCGGGGTTCGACTCCCACTCAGGCGGATGACTGAAGCCTGCGTTGTGTGTTAACGTGCCCCTTCCCTTGTTCATAGACGCAGGTTGTTTCAAGTGGAAAACACTCCGTCCCTCGGATAGGACGTTAAATGGAGGCCCCGTGTAGAGAAGAGTCACTACCTTTGCACGTTAAGAACTCACTGCACTATTCGTATAAGAGAAGGGGGAAACCCCGGTGTAGTAGTCCACCTGCACACACCCCCAGTATAGTACGATAATACCCTGTAAAGAGGTCTGTACTCAAAAGGAAGAAGAAGAAGAAGAATGGGGGTATTCAACTGGTTATTTTAATATAGAAAGAGGGATTGGACAAAGTGATCCATTGTCGCCCTTTTTGTTTTTGACTGCAATAGGATTATCGGCACATGAAGTAAGGAGGGACAAACTAATCAAAGGGATACATTTTGGGCAACATGAAATAAGACAAGTATTGTATGCAGATGATATGTTTTTTTTTTTGAAAGACATAGACTCAATAAGAAGTCTGCAATATATATTTGAAGAATTAAAAAAAGTTAGTGGTTAAAAGACTTTTATATAGAAAGTGATTTTGGGATGGAAGTTATTTTTTTAATTATTGCTTAAGTTCAGTGGGAGGAAGGCTAATTTTCTGTATGTGACTATGAAATGAAAAAGATGAATTTTATGTTGAAGATTCCACCTCATTATTTGGAAATATATTCTAAGGGGGGGGGGGGTGGGGGATAGAGGGTGTTTTTTTTCCTTTTTTTTTTAGGTGGTGGGGTGATGGCCGGGTGTTGGTAGAGGGTGTTTGTATTGTTTTGTTTTGTTTTTTCTTTTTCATCATCATCAACTTCAGGTGGCGGTGTAAAGCGCTGCTGTGGCCTTCACGAGAGCACGCCATGTAATTCTTTTACCTGCTATTTGTGTTGCACCTTTCATTCCTTGTCCAGACACTTTCTTGATATCATCAGTCCAAGATATTGGTGGACAACCTCTACCCGTTTTCCTTCGACTGCTCCTTGCAGTATTTGCTTCTCAACACTTTCAGATCTTCTAACAATGTGCCCAAAATAGTTTAGTTTTCTTTCCATGATTCCCCTTCTGATGGTCAAGTCTGTTCCAATCTTTTCCAGGACCCACACATTTGTCTTTTTATCTTTCCATGACACCTGCAACAGCCTCCTGTAGCACCACATTTCAAAGGCATCAACTCTCTTTCTGTCATTCTTTGTCATGGCCCAGGACTCACTTCCGTAAGTCGCAATAGAGAAAGAAGTTGC